GTGCCGACCTGGCCAGCCTCCTCCCGTCCCCAGCAGCACGTGGGAAGCCAGCACGTGGGGGTCTTAGCAGGCGGGGTCCTGGCATGACCTCTGCGGGGCAAGGCGGTGGGAGCCGGTGTCTGCCGGACCCCGCGTTCCGGACTCGCAGCACTGAGGCCACCAGGGCTGCATGTGCGGGCAGCCGGACACCACAGTGAGTGGGGCCACGCAGGCAGGCAGGTGAGGGGCTGCGGTTCAGTGGCTGCCTCACTCCAGCCCCCCTCAGGCAGTGCCGGTGCTGCGCTGCTCGGGGGATGGAGATGTGGAGCTATTTATTTCTCCCCTTCAGTCTCTGGGGCAGTAGCTGGCTGGATGCAGAATGGGCCCCTCCTGCCCCTGCCTGCCAGCAGCTACCATGAGCCTTGAAGTAACAGACAGGTGCAGTAGGGCTGCACAGCCAGGGTCTCCCTGGCCCAGGACAGAGGGTGTTCAAATATGGCTCACCAGCCCACTGGGTGATAAAAAGTTCATGATCCAGCCCCACATTCAAAAAGGTTGGACATCCAATTTAAACCATTCCAGCCTCTTCCTACAAAGTGCTTTGCATGTTACAAATGTAATTCAAAGTCAAACTGGTTTCAGCAGAGGTTACATCTGCTGCCTGGGTGCATGAGGAGGCCTGAGAGAGCGTGACAGGCAAGTTTGGAAGTGGTGAAAGAGAGCAATCCAGGCCGACATCGTGGTGCAACCCTCCAAGCTCTCGCGGGTCACACGGGGGCAGCGAGCTCAGCTCTGGCACGGTCATGTTCTCCGCAGAGAACCGAGGCAGACACGAGCTCAGGTCACTTGCACCTAGCCCTGCAAGCAGCAGACGCGGTGGCAGCGCTGCCCCGGCTCGGGGCTGAGGACACACGACGGGCCAGGAGACGGTAAGGCGGCAGCACTGCCACCAGCGCCCCGCGCGAGGGCTGCAGAGCAGGGCGGGGGAGCCGGGCACGCGGCACAGCTCCATGCACGGGCCAGGGGGCTCCAGCCCCGCAGGCGGGTCCCGGCATTCATGGTTAGCGTGCGGGCCTCCTCACGGAGGCGACACCGGATCTCGGCTGCTGCCCCCCACAGCCTCTGTGGTGGGCAGCACCTGGGCGCGGACAGCCCTGTGGCGAACGGCGAAGAGGATCAAGCTCTCCCGTTTAGACTTGAGCCGCCACCACATGCTCCGGGCGGAGGGGGAGGAGGGTAATCCCTCACTCCAGGCCTCGCCCCGGCCAGGCCCCACCCCCATCTCGTGCCCTCCCGGCCCCTCCCCTTCTGGCGGCGGCGCGCTGGCGCATGCGCTTTGCTCGACTGCGAGATGGCGGCGGCTGCCTTGGGCTGGGCGGTGCGGGCGGCGCGGCAGGTCAGAGCGCGGTCCCGCGGCGGGGGGCCCCGGGCTGGACCCTGCTCCCCCCTGCCATGGAGAGAAAAAAAGTGGAGACGGTTTGAGGCCGGGAGAGCAGCCCCTGCTCGGGCGGGCGGGCTCGGCTTCCTGGTAGCACCGGGGGGCGGCTCAGGCGCAGGAAGGCCCCAGCGGGGACGAGAAGGGCACTTAGGAGCGAGGCCGAGAGGGTTATTTAGCGGGGCTGCGCCCCCTCTTGCCGGGGATTAAACCACCGTGGGAGCCGGGCGAGTCCCGCCTGCGCTCAGGGCCTGAGGAGGTGCGGGCAGGCGCCTCGTTTTCTCTGCGTGGGTGAGCGGGTGTAGCACTTGAGTAGTAGCGGTGACAGTCGAGCCTCATCTGAAATCACAACAGATATGAAGACTTTTGACACACGGGCTCAGAAGTGGTAAAATGTGTAAGGGAGGGAAGGCGTGCGGGAGTCAGACTAATCCTGGAGCTCAGAGTGGGCCCTGGGGAGGTGAGTGGGTTTGTTACTAGTATCGAAGACTGGAGGAATTGGGGAAAGACGTGATTGAGAGGTAGAAAGAACAGCCCCTTGGAATAAATACTTGAAGGGAGGAAGAAGAACACAAACAGATGCTGAAAGTGTTTTAATCTTTGTATTTCTTCTCTGTTAGATATTCCCCTTGCCATGCACAGGGCAGGTGCGTGGTTACTACGTGAACTGGAGGATGCTACGTGACGCAAAAAGAAGGAAGCTGGCTTACGAGTACGCAGAAGAGAGGCTGCGGATCAACGCCCTGCGGAAGAACACCATCTTGCCCAAAGAACTTCAGGTAAGAGTGCCCCCCCCTGCCCGGTCCCGCTGAACTACAGCCTAGGAGGTAGGGGGCAGGATACCTGCACGGCTACAGCACCTGAACCTCCTTAGCCACTCAAGTAGAGATCTGACCATGCGCCTAGTACCACGTTTGTCATTCACAAGTTTAAGATCACATCACATCTTGTAGCTACTGTTGAAACTTACCTTCAGAGCCTTGTCCTTTCAGAGTCATTTTCAACCAGAGGAGGGAAGAAAAACAAAGAACCCCTCTCAACTGAAACTTCTTTGCCACTGCTGTGCCCTTGAAAGACTGATCAGCAGGA